TTTTTTTTTTTTTTTTTTTGAATTTCATATCTAGAACTTCGGAGTCAGAACATATAATTAAATGAAAATGTTTTTAAAATTTGACACTTGAGACGCGACTGAGAAGGGAATTTGAGAAAAAAATCTAGTTGAAAATTGCATTGCACAGGGAGCTCACAGCGAGATCGGGGCGATTCGATACCTCGATACCAGTGCAGCGCAATGGTGAGAGAGGAACAAGTGTCGATTAAACTGCGCTCGCGAAAAATCGCCGCGCAATCAGCTCACGGATGCAAGCGACTTTCCCATAAGGGTTTTAATAGCCCCGTCTGGGTGGGCCCGACAGACATCAGATATGTTTATTCAGACGCGGAGACGAGCAGGCTTAACCGGCGGACGAAGGAAAAAAGGCTAGATCTGACACTCATCTGTTATAAACAAAGGAGTTACATTATCCTCCTCGAAAGGGCGCCTTTACGTCTCGTATGCCAATCTGCATAAAAATGGAGTGGACGTTCCGAAAGGAAACGCCGCTACCACAATGAACACATTCAATCCAGACCTCAAATAAACGGAAAATTATATTATTTTAGAAACGCGAGACATTTGTTCGATAATATATTCATACCAAATAAATAATGTAATGAATAAGAAATCTTTGGATAAATCGAAGCTTAACGATCATGCTCAACTTAATGATCATCGCCAAACAGTGGCGAGCGATTATTTTAACTATGTTACAAAAATTATGTCTTGTTTTAGTCTTTTAGATTTTCTTCTCTCCGTCAGAATATCCCTCTCACCTACAAAATCTGGCATTCTAAAGTCTTGCGATTAGAGTTATCTAACCTCTATCCTAACATTATCTTCTCTCTGTCAAACAATTATGTAAAACTGTACGTCATTAACGTATTGTAATGTTTCTTCCACTCTTTCCTTACATCGGAGTGCTTTTATATCGAAAAATCGTATCCAACGTCATATACGAAATATATTGCACTACCTCGAACTTACAGTTTCCAACAGAGTCAGAATAAAAGTTCTGTTACGTAACGGCACACGTTTACGTTACTTTCTTTTTCCGAAAACGAATCGCAGCACAACGAAGCCACCGCCCGTTCGTAAAACATAAAGAAAAGAACTTTAAGAAAGGAATTTCGGTGTAATTAAATTCGGTTCGGCCGCGAGGCCATCAATGACAAAGTTGACTCGGCAGCAACACGGCTCGGCATCGGTTCGTAAGATGGATTTTATAGTCGTTTCTGCAGTCCATTACTGCTACGTTTATATCGTCTTCTAAACATTCGAAAGCCATAATGCTCTCGCGTTAAACGAAGCCTTGTGCTGACACGCGATCGTAACTAGTGGCCCGAACTAGTCGGGATTACTTGCGGTTTCCATTAAGAAATTAACGCGGCCCATTGTGCCCGACGAAATAATCAGCCTTCGAGACCAATCGAGTCCAAATCGAATGACCTATTTTCGACGTTCTCTCAGTTTCGATCTTCGAGGAAAATCACCGATCGAAATATATTTCGTAATATTCTTTGCGCAACCGAGGCAAATGCTGCTCTCTCGGTAGCGAGTCTGAAACATACGGTGAAATTTCGCGAGATTTTTATGCAAGCGAGTAAAATCGGTCAGACGTTGAAAGAGCAATGAATCTGGAATGTCCACGCGAACGACACGGATTACTTCGCGTTACACTGCGATACGAAGAGAAAAGGTGGGATGATGTCGAATACCACGAAAGCTCGGAACAATTTGTAACATTCCGAGCAAAGAGCAACAAATATTCTTCCTACGAGGCACGTGTATTCCTACGTCAAATTCTATCACGAGTTCGAAACGGCGGTTAAAATTCTTGAAAACAGAGGGTTGAAAATAGAGAGACTCGAAGATTCGAAAGCAAGGCAACACGAATTTCTGCAAGATTATTATTCACGATTCGTCTCAACTGCAGCGAAGAACTCAATTTCGCAATAAACAGCGACAATTTTCTCGTGGCTGAGCAAATTGCGCGTATTGTTGCTCGTTAAGATTTAACAGGGATTTTCGATCGAGAACTCTGTAAAACGACCGTCGACATTCTCGAGAATGAAGGGAAGACGCGAGACTGTTACATGTTCAGACAAATTCTGCAAGAGTCGCGACTCGCGAGATATCCTCCGCTTCTCTCGACTCGCAAATCCGACGACACTGATTAACACCGACACTCGCGTTCGCTCTGCGAGATTCTGAACGATTTTCCAACGGAGACGGGGGCTGGAGCACTTCGCTCCGGAATTTCCTTCGTCGCTATATAGAGTAGAATGAACGAACAAGAGAGAGAGGGGGGGGAGAAGGGAGGGAGGAGAAAAAAAGGAGAACGAGGAGGGCACTGCGATTCGAAATGGGAGTACGTCGGTCTAACGACACCGGTGGCGGACTTCTCTCACCCGAAACAAGAAAGGGACAATTTGACGCTCAATCAACCGACGAAAGCTAATTTTCATTAGCTGTTAATAGCGCTGAACGGTCTTCCGGCTGTCCGACCGTGCGCCGTGCAGCCCCTTTTCACCCCTTTCAACCCCTTACCCTCGACGCCATTCAGACGTTTTCGCCCGTCCGCGAGCCAAGTAGTCGAGACTCTCACCCGAGTCGAGGTTAATTCGCAAAGGCGCAAACCGTTTTAAAAATATCATCGTCACGGGTTCGTTAGAAGCCACGAGTGAGATCGAGGGTAATTCATAGAGAAACTCTGCTCGTGATTTCACGCTTTGACAAACGTAATCAAAAAAAGAAACGAAGCTTCGGTACAAATTTGCTTCCACTGTATTAAAAAACGACTGCTCTACGCGCTTTCAATGTGTTGCATGTTTTTTACATATCTGCCAATTTCTCTCGTAAAACGCAGAGACGTCGGCAGTTTAGTATTTAGGCTCGTTGTTTGAACGGAAGTCGAGAACTGGTTAGCAACGATTTTGAAAGGGTATCGCGAGGGAAAAACGGACAGCGGGAGGAGAATTTATTTGGCTAGGTGGTGGCTATTATC